CAGAAAGAATAAGCAACAAGAAACTCTGTCCTGGCAACGAACCAACCAAGAACTTATTGTCCAACATATATGCAGAAGAAAGTGGAGATGGATTGGATTGAACATACACTGAGAAGGCCGACTGGGGACATCACGCTCCAGGTCAGGCCAGGGCGTCGAGTGGAATCCAAAGGAGGAAACGACGAGTTAGGCGTCCGAGGTGAGGATGACATGAAGGAGATCATTTGAGGAAGAAATGAAAGCCTGTGGGCAGTCGTGACGGCAGGTTGAGTAGACTGCAGAGAAGAGAGTGGAATGGGAGCGTGCTACTGAAGCTGTATGTTCCACTAGGAACCCAAAAGAAAAATATTATTGATGATAATAATACTTTCCTGGAGGAGAAATATCCCCTCTCCTCCCCTTGCATTTGGATAAAGATCAAGGAAAAATTTATTTTCAATGAAAACATTTAGATCAATAACATCTGAACCGCTGGTCATACCATCAACTGTTTTAATGGAAAACCTGAAGATTCTGGAGTGAATTTATTACGAATTTGATGATATGCATTGTATTAAAATGTCTTCAAACAAAACAAAATTAACTATTCAATATTCTAGTTGATATGCATTAATTGAAGATGAATATTATCTTCAAATATTATACATTAAGTGGTGTGGCTAAAAGTTATTTCCAAGAAGAATCCGGCTGACTTCTGTTTCAAGTTGACATTGAGCGATAGAGATGAAGCAGGTTTCTCATATCCAATCGTGTTCAGGTAGTTCCTGTAGGGAATAGGCTTCAGTGTACGTGATATTCTTCAATAAATGGAACATTTTATGGTTGAAGAGGTTAAAATTACTACTATCTACCTATTAAAAACAATTGACTGATTGATTTTTTTTTGTAGGCTAGTTTATAAAGGAAAATTGGAATTTGTTTCCAAAGTGCTAGCTACTGTATATCAAGATAGGTGACAATGGATCTGATTCCGTAGGTTTTTTAACTTTCATTGCATATCAGTGGGGTTTATAACATCATTGTCCACTGAAAAGTATTAATTCCTCTGTATTATGCCTACTACTAAATTTTCCTTTTGTTATTTATTGAGTAATCTGTATTTTTAAGTAGCAAATCTTAAACTTCTGAGAATGCTGTAGTCTCAGTAGATATAACTGGGACATTCAGGGAAATGGTGTTGTCAAAGTCACTTTTCAGTTGAAAAGCTGTTTAGGATGTAGTTAATGAATTTAAGAAAGTATTTGACCGTCGTATTTTACGACGAACATCAGTTACTTGTATTCATTGTATTCATGTGAAAAACAAAAGATCGGGAGATGCTCGTTTAACGTATACGGTTGTTGTTTGTAAATATACTTTTAGAGTGAACCATAAACCCCATGGTTTGGGTTAGGGTTAGGTAACTTTAATTTCTTAGGTCCAAACTTCGAAAGTTTCCATCAATGTTTCAGTTTGTACTGAAGATAAATGAGTACATTGTTAGGTCTTACAGAGTGGTCCACAGCCATCCCTGTTCTCAGTTATTTATGGTTTGTGAAAATATCTACTGTTCTTTGATTTTCTTCCAGACTTCATTTACTGTTAATAACAGATTGACTTGAGATCAAAACTGTAATGATTAATTCTTCCTTATAGCAATTTACAAGCTCAATTACCTTGTTTTTATTTGTGACCGTCTTTCTTCACAAATAAACTCACAATTTTTTCAACAAAGATGTCTAGCATAGTCAACAGTTTTCCCGCAAAAAAGATCATACAAAAAAAAAACAGAAAATATACATTTTTCCAACCCATAACAAGCTAAGAGATAACTTTCAGACACACTTTACATTAAGATTTGAACTAGTTCAAATTTCCCACTTTTTATTTTACACATCATTTAAAACAAATTCAGATCAGGATTCAATTGAATCATATAATATATAGGTGAATTTAGAGATAGTATTACATTACATACTAGTCAATAAGAATTAAATAATTATACAATGCTAAATTAGTATATTCTTTTTTCAATAATATTCACCTTTGAAGTGTTTTCATCAATAACAATGATTATAATGGTATCAGAAAATAGTAAGATCTAGCTTAGAGAAAACAATGAACTCTTTTAAGGTCACTTCGAATGACTCATCTTAGAAAAAAGACGTTCAAGGAAGGCTACTTCTATTATAGATATTGTTGTTGTTGTTGTTGTTACAAATACTGTTTGAACTGAAAGTTCTATAAATATTATTTTACTAATAATTATATAATCTATTTGATAACCCTCATTTTAACAACTTATTCAACTTATAATATGTCGTTTATTTATGTCCTTATGTTTATTATTCACCTAAGCATTCAACTTGTAACTATGACTACTATTAATGCATATAATCTGTTCATTTGTTAAACCAAAAGAAAGAAGATAGTTCAATTAAACTTTATCCTTTAGAGAGTAAATAGAATTTAGTCCATGTAATATACTATAGAAATGGAGTGAAGAGAACAATTTCTGTATATTTAGTAGATAAGAAGCATTATACATGAATATATACAAATGTCCTTATAGATAAGTTTAATTGAAATTAACTTTAAGAAAATATTGGCATTTCTTCTTTCTTTTTTTGTTGTTGTTGTTGAATAGAAGTATGCAAAGAGAGGTCAATGACTTGATGTCCTGATAAACTATTGTGTACTCTACATTGGTACACAGTATACAATTAATAGATAAGAGATAGTGAAGAAGAGAAACTTCATTGATGTTGTTGAAACACTAGAGCACATTTAATACAAAGATACACACACACACACACACACAGATATACGTACACTCCTATATGAGCAGAATCATTTCTTGCACCTATGCATATGTATTGGTGTATTTTTAATGTCTTTACTTCGTACTCTCTCAGTCTCTCCCTGTCTCTTTCACAATCCTTTTATGCTCTTGCTCTTAAGCTTGTATTACTTCTTGTTCTCTCTCTACAAAAAAAGAATCTAGATAGAAAATTTCATTTTAACAAATAGAAATACTTAGCACATATAGTAGTCAACTGAAGTAATCAATAATAAATAAGTAAATGAAAAAAAACAGATTTGTGAGTAGACATATATACACGCACACACGCATACACAATATATGGTGCTTATGATTTATTTACTACCATTGACTATCAACATCATTGTTATAATGATTATGGATAGACATATACGCTTATACTTACTACTCATGTAGACACAATCGTGCACACATATATACACAGTGAATAGGTGCACAGAAATTATTGATTGAATAAAAATTTTTAAAAAAAAAAGTAAATTCTGTCACCTCACCATACTAAAATCGAAGTATAAAAGAGTGATGATTTAGCAGTTATAAGATAAATAAATTATGCTCTCTTGTTTATTTTGTTAACTCTTTATCTTTCATACTAACATTGTTATAATTTTTCATATTTTGTAATATATGAATATTATATTGAATGAATATTATGTATAATGAGAAGCAGAATAACTTATCTCATTACAGAAATCTTTCTTTGTAATAGAAGGTAAGTTGATTTATTTATACAATCAATTTCGATATTATTTTATACAGTAAATCAATATTTATAAGTTTTATTTTGTTGTACTGACTAAGATAACTAACTAACTAGTTATAATGTTGTTTTAATGAATAATTTGAAAGATTTAAATTTTAAATTTATATTCAAGTAGAATCAATGATGCACTTATCATCCTCTTAGTTAATTATATATATAGTTAGAGTGTGCACTTACAATCTGAAGAAGAAAGATAGAAAGACAAACTATTCTATACTCTCCATTAGTTAAATTAAAGATTAAAGATTATTACACAATAAGTTGTAAAAAAGAAAAAAAGAAGTGAATGAACTCTTCTTCCTTTCTTTTTTATTGCTTTCATTTTTTCTCTTTAAAATCGAATTAATGTTAATAATTCTTTTTATTTTTATAAAAAAAAGTCTAAAATTTAAATTTTAGAGTGCATATTGATTTTTACTGTAATCATTTTAGAAAAAAAATAAATAAGTCGACACGAGGGCACAAAAATATTGATTATTTCATTGATTTCTTTTTTAAAAAGATATATGTATAGCATATAGTTCAGTTTAGTATGCACTTAATTCAAATAATAGAAGTATATATTATGTACGTATATATGTAAATCGTGTGCCACTGATTGATAATATACGCGTGTATATTATAGATATTATTATTATTATTATTTGTTTGTTAGTAAAAGGGGGATGGACATTAGATTTACAACCAAATGGAATTTGTGACTTCTACTCACATGTCTTTATGTCGCTCTCAATAGAAATCACTTTATTAGAACACTTTACAGCATATTTATCGACTTACTGATAAGTTGACTAGTGTGTAGGTGAATGTCTAAAGTCTTAATAATTTGTCTGTCTATATTACACTAAGTGCATTACACTATATATACTTAATCATGAGTAAATAAATTTAAACATTTGTGTAAAATTTTTGTTCAGTATACATGTATCTATCTTTTTCTTATTTTATTTTATTACAGTGTTCAATGAGTATTTCAATACTTTTTATATTCTCAAAAAGAATATATATTACACATAGCAGTAATGTTGAAATGATTCAATTATAAGAAACTGTTTGGATACACAAGATTTGATGATGAATAATTTTTTTTTGAAGTATATGAAATAATAACTTATCTTTTGGTATGTTAGTTATTTTACTACCTATATAATCAATTATATTGTGATGATGAGAATAGGTGTATTGAAATTTGGGCAGTCGATGCATTTCCACTAAAATATTTAATTATTTAAAGTTTATTTTAAACTTTAAATTGAATTTGTGAAAATGCATCATCTACCCTAGATATCAATTCACAAAACATCATCTATCATCTAATGCATATATATCTGTTCAATTTTAATGTTTTTCAAATGTATAAAAATTGATTTTACTAATAAAGATGACAAATATTGTGATCATAGTCATGGGACAGAAATGCGTATATACATTTCTAGTAATACTATCAGTAATGTTAAAAATAATATCATAATACATACTGACAGTATTACTTATCTTTTTTATTCAATGTAAATGCATTTTCTGGCCCGTAACTACGACACAATGAACATCAGTTACAATATTATTGTTGTTGTTGTCATCACTATCACATAACTTTGCTATATGGGTAATAAATATTTACCTTTTTATTTTTCTTTCATTTAACAATACACATATGAGATAGCTTTCATGTAAGTTTGATCCAATTCGTTCATTATAAAAACAGACTGTTTTTTTATTTTCCTCTTTTTATAAACAAAAAAATAAGTGTTTTCACCAATGACAATTCAAGTATAATCATTCAAATGTTATCCATCAAGTCTTGTACATTTAATTCGATTAAACAGCAACCTTTTTCATTACTCTTATTCATCTAGGGGAGATGGGAATGGCTTGAACATATTTAATTTAATTCAGTCAAAGATAAGCTCGTCAAACAGTATATACATATATATATCCAAAAAATATGTTAAAAACGATTGAACATTGAACTCTTCAGCGGTATGTACACATCTTAATTGTATTACTTGTTTAGGTTATTTTTTATACCTTAAGCTTTATGATGCATTGTAAAGTTTGTTTATCTGAATTGAAGTGCCAGTTTCAAGTTTAAAATTTGTACTTGTTAACCTCCAACGCACAAGGTTATTTCCCACCTTATCTTTTAAATTGTGTTGATTAACCGACGACTATCATCTTCAACTACTGAGTAGATCTCAGTAAACGGTATTGAATATACTGAATAGTACAATAAATCTATTAATTTGTTAACAAGCGGCACAGACGAGGACATCGAAGCAGCCAGGATAGGAAAGATAGCAAGACAGACATTCCTTCATTAGCCCGAAACCAGTGTGGAGATCTTCTGCACTCAGCACAAAGAACAAGATCCCGATTTTCAACAATAATCTCGGTCAAATCTGTGCTACTACATAATTCTGAGACTTGGCGCATAACGAAAAGCATTCCAAACAAACTACAGATAGTCATCAACAACTGCCCCTACTCTGACGCCTTACTGAAGCTCAGATGGCCAGAATAATAAGAATAAGCAAGGAGGAACTCTGGCCTGATAACGAAGCAACTATGAATCTATCGCCCAACAAATATGCAGGAGTGGAAGGAAGTGGAGATGGGTTGAGCAAACACTGAGAAGACGGTTCGTAGACATCACTTGAGTGCAACCCTGATGTGAAACGATAATTTGGGGATCCCAGTTGAGGGTGATGTGGAGGAGATTGTGTGAGAAAGAAATGAGAGCTTGTGAGGAGTTGTGGAGTCAGGTTCAAAAGATTTCAGAGAACAGAGTGGAATTAAGACGTGTTAGGGAAGTCGCATATTCCAATAGGAACCCAAGAGACAAATAATAATGGTAATGATAACGATAATAAATTGACAGGCTTTATAGATATCTTAACTTTTTTCAGTTTAGCTCAAGCGTTACACATAACAAACAATTGTCTACGATGATGAAAAATGATGTCTAAAGGAAAATTATGCTGCAACAGATGGCTAGAAAATGCTATGGTACAAATTTATATAGGCAATGACTATTCATTTGAGTTGGATACCCAACTATAAATCATCTTGATAAGCTTTTTAATATCTCACTTCTATTATAATCTACTGCAATTGCTTCTTCTACTACTTTAGTCAAGTTTATTTCAGTTGTTCTTATTGATTTCCCCCCCTATATTGTGAAGTGTAGTTTTTTTGTTGTTTGAACTAGTGAACTTTTGTACAAGTTTTTGGTTGTTGTTCATTTTACTCATTTTTTAGTAATATCATATCATATTGTTGAGTTAACATATATTTTATGGAAGATAACAAAAGTTTGTAATTAGAAAGAAAGAAATTAGAAGAATTGAGAACGTGAAAAAAAAAGAGAAAGAGAGGAAAGTCTACTCAACTCAAGTATGTTAGTTGGTTGGAGGCAATCGGCAGGAAGCCGTTGACCCAGGTTCCGTGCTTTTTGACACTCTTCAGTATGGCGTATTTGCAACCTCGACGGAACTTATATCCCGCCTGAAATCCGAACCCGCGTCACCCAGTGTTGTAGTCAGCGACTTTACCACTAACCTATTCAGGCAGTGATTGGCCTCCTGTAGGACTGGCTTACATGTGTTGGCTGGTCACGGGAGTGTAACTCATTTCATGTTGTGTAGTCCTGAGTGCAGACCGAATCCTGTCTATTGCTTCCAACCAACTAACATCTACTAATGTGCATCGTGATGCTGAGTTTCCTAGCTTGGTTGCCACATTGCAAATATAATCGATAGGATTCGGTCTGCACTCAAGACTAGACAACATGAAATTGGTTGCACTCCCGTGACCAATCAGCTCAACTCAAGTATATCAAGAAAGTGTCTACTGTTCTGCGTTCCGTTCTGTCTTGTTATACGACTGTGAAACATGGCCGCTGAAGAGGTTACAGGTTTTCTATCACAGTTGTCTTTGTAGTATTGCTCGTATTTGGTGGAAACACGGTATGAACAATGTTGAAGGGTACTGGGTTCGATAGGCAAGTCGATTTGTGATGTTCTGAACCTTCATTGGCTGAGGTGACTTGGACATGTATTACCTATCCTAAGTTACCGCCTACATCCATATGTCATGCTACAGGAACCTGGATTAAGTTAAACAAGGGTTTAGGATGGTCAGGCCAAGATGTGGCACCAGTCGATAAAGTCTCGTACTGTTGGTCTGAGCCGTGTAGAGAAGTATAAACTGACCAGTTGAGGTCCATGACATCACCCTTGTTGAAATGGCTGAGAATAGATCATAATGGTGCAGATGTGTTCACACTTTGACGTCTTCTAAAGCTTGAATACTTTGACTAATATTTAATTTAAAATTACCTATTCTCTATTTTGATATGAATCATTTTCAGTCCATTTGTTTCTTGAACACTAACTGTTGTGAAGTGTGGTAACTTGAATCAATGCACTCATGTGGAACGTCCTATGTTGATTCTGTCTGTGTGTCTATTATCATATCTTGTTCAATGAAAAGCAAACTTTTGGAACTATGAGTGTTTAAATCTATACCACTCATGGGATTAACCTGTAGATGGCTAGGAGCAAAATCCACTGGTGTATCAGGATATTACATTTATTAATAAATCAAAAGGACTACACCTCAACTACTACTACTACTACTACTACTACTACTACTACTACTACTACTACTACTACTACTACTACTACTACTACTACTACTACTACTACTACTACTCACACTACTACTACTACTACTACTCACACTACTACTACTACTAATGGTAAAAATGTTAGTGACCACATACGCTTTTGCAATATTCTATGGACTAAATAGGTAGTGCATGAAGGTTTGTGGTACCTCTGGGTTGGCCAGTTTTAAGGAGTGTATTGGTGACAAAGTGAATACATCCTCATCATTGTGACCAAAATCTAATCATTTCATCAAGAGTCATCAAGCAGTGATTCTGGGGACCCCCAGTCAGGTAGTCTACACTTGATTACATGGCTCAAGCCAACAATTAGGTACTTCATGGACAGGTGTCATGTCTTAGTTTAGTCATCGTGATCTGTCTTCCAAGGTAGGTAGATACATTGGTATTTCCACGGATTTAGGATTGAAACTGAAGACGGGCAGTGGTTAGCAGTAGAATTCAACATTCCTGTTTCGTCCTTATTGGAACTCATCAGCTGGATAAGTACCACTGTTCCCATTTAGAAGCAAGCATAGAATCCATTTGTTTAATCAAAAGATTTGTTGCACAACTTGACAAAGCTATTTTATGTTTTTATGAAAAGTTTATTCTCCTTTTTGGATATTTTCGAAACAACATTACCTTCTTAAATTGTCATTTACAAAATGTAAGTAATTAGTAATATTTTGAGGCCTAAGAGATTACCACAACTTTTATTACCTTCTCTTAAATGAAAACTTTATTCGCTATCGTATGCCATCTAAAGAGGAAAAAAACTTTTAGGAAAGCAATTCGCTGATTAGAATTAAGTTTGTCATTTTGATTATCTGAGATGGTTTGGTAAACTAGTATTGATACTGGATGGTGGTTGAAGGTGAAATGGAAGTTTAAACCGCAACCGGATTCAAACCAGCGACTACCGGGTTTCTAGCTTAGTGCGCCTTCAATCATCACGCAGTATAAATAAAGGTTAATCATTTATTAGTCTATGGCAGTCAACTCTCTACCTCAACCTCATCGACTTTGAAAAGGCCTTCGACAGTGTCAATAGCGCCGAGAAGTAATTTGGCAACTGCTTAAACACTACGCCTTCAGTGCCACAAACCTTTACCAATCTCATTCAACAAATATATGAAGACACCACATGCCAAGTAATTCATAATGGGAAGCTCAGTGATGCCTTTGAAATGAAGACAGGGGACAGGAGTAAGACAAGGTTGATGTCAACTGTCACCGATGATCTTCCTGATTGTGGTCGACTGGATTGTGGAACAAAAAGTGACGAGCGAGAAGAGGGGGATACGCTGGACTGGGGAAAACATCCTAGAAGATTTGGATTTCGCCAACGACGACTTGTGTCTAATGTTTTGTCGCACAAACGTGGAGATCTACAGGCAAAAGCCAACAAGCTGACATAAGAGGCAGGACTAAGAAGACGGAACTTGAAGTGAACGTAGAGAAGATAAAGGTGATGAAGATACTCAACTAACACCAACAACAACAAGAAGAGGCTCCAATCACCATCAACGGAAGAAACTTGAAGGAAGTAGCCTCTTTCACCTATCTAGGCAGCACTGTTTCAACTACAGGTGGCACAGACGAGGACATCAAAGCAGCCAGTATCGGAAAGGTAGCAAGACAGGCATTCCTTCATTAGCCCGAAACCAGTGTGGAGATCTTCTGCACTCAGCACAAAGAACAAGATCCCGATTTTCAACAATAATCTCGGTCAAATCTGTGCTACTACATAATTCTGAGACTTGGCGCATAACGAAAAGCATTCCAAACAAACTACAGATAGTCATCAACAACTGCCCCCTACTCTGACGCCTTACTGAAGCTCAGATGGCCAGAATAATAAGAATAAGCAAGGAGGAACTCTGGCCTGATAACGAAGCAACTATGAATCTATCGCCCAACAAATATGCAGGAGTGGAAGGAAGTGGAGATGGGTTGAGCAAACACTGAGAAGACGGTTCGTAGACATCACTTGAGTGCAACCCTGATGTGAAACGATAATTTGGGGATCCCAGTTGAGGGTGATGTGGAGGAGATTGTGTGAGAAAGAAATGAGAGCTTGTGAGGAGTTGTGGAGTCAGGTTCAAAAGATTTCAGAGAACAGAGTGGAATTAAGACGTGTTAGTGAAGTCGCATATTCCAATAGGAACCCAAGAGACAAATAATAATGATAATTTACTAGTCCGTTATATCGATGGGTGTCAGTTAAGAGATGAGTATAAGCTGTCTGTTTGATTTCTTCAAGATGTTAAGCAATCGTAGAGGGAGACAAATGCAACTTATATTTTCTGAGAAATCTCCAAGATCATTATAATTTTTTTGAAAAATCTTCAGTCACTTATGCATATCCTTCTTTTTCAACCATATTTCTTCTGCACCTAATCATTCACCTTTCATTTCCTGTATAACTAATTATATTAGTGTTATATAGATTCATCTGTCTATCTGTCTATTATTTGGTGAAAGAAATCTGTACTGAATCTTTAACGGAGTCATTTTCGCCTTCAAATTGTTTCACTGTTTAGCAGAGGGAATGTTTGGGAAGACAGTGATATAAACAACAAGAAAGATATGAATTAGTTCAAGAAGGTCACTTGTAAATCTTTCATATATTCAATTCCGTTAATAAATTTGAATAAAACAAGAACAAAGATATTTACTGTATAAAATGAGCTGATTTTCTTTCACAGCCTTTCATCAACCGCAAATATGCCACAATTAAAATGAAGTATTGCCAATAATAATAATATAATATACTTTAAATATGTAAAAACAGAATAAAAATTGAAATTCAGGATTAACAATAGGGTTGTAAGTAGAGAAAATACAAGATTAATAACCATAAAATGGCAATTTATATCTGACGAGAAAGAAAATTCTGGAGTTGTGTAAAGGAGGGACAATAAAAAGACAGGAGTATAAAGAAAGGGGGTTATTAAAGAACTAGTGGCTTACATAAGTATATGAAGAACTAGAATACGTTCAGATCAAGATCATTAGTAGTCAGTAAGTAATTAATAAAGAGATGATGATGGTGCTGAATCGATTATGCATATACTGATCAACTTATTAACAGTGTATCGTCAAATTGTCCATCTTATCTCCCTTGATTTTGTATGTTTCTTCATTTGATCCTGATCACACAATGATAACTATTTTGAACACAGTCAATTTTGAATAAAACTCCTCATGATAAATCTTTATGTCACATCTTGTCATTCTTCATACTAATGATGACCGAATAAAAGTGGTAAAACATTAGACTAGTTTATAAATATGAATATTCAAGGTCATAATTATCAAGTATATTTTTACAAATTAAACAATAATTATTGATCATAGATTATAGCTATAATTTAAGAATCAGTTACTCTATAATGATCAATATAGCGTTATCAGACTCTTAAGTAATAATCGAATTTTGTAATATCATCACTAAGCCAAGTTATATGAGACTGTGATTCACTTTGTCCATTAGCGTATACTTGTAATTTGTCAATAGGAAGTCGAGCTCAATCTGGGATACACAGATGTCGACACTCATCAAGAAGTTAGGTGTATTTCTGAGATATTCAACAGATTAATATCCATTTACACATTAGTATTTGCAACAGTTATTGTTGACAATTGAGTCATTTACTATTCCATGACAGATACATATTTGCAATCTATTCTTGTAAAGGATGACATGTTTAATTGTATCTCTGACAAACTATGCCTTTCAACTGAGCTAAAGATTCAGTTTACAGATATCTACTATCAAGCATGATATTTTCTGTGTTGCGAGGGACTCCTTTCTGATTGACCCATAAAGCCTAACAACATATCATTGAGGTGATGAGTTCAGTTTTATTGTAAAGGACTGGTGATTAAGAATGAATGAAAATCCTCACCCATACTACTGGTTCGAAACTGTCGGCAACTTAGACCCCTCTGCAAATATAACCAGAACTGTGCTGTTTGATAGTAGTTTTTATTGACCTATGAAGCCTTTTCGTTTTTAGTATTGTAATACAACTAAAATTTCAGTAGTTCACCTCCAGTGATATAGTGAATTATTTTAGAAATTATCTTTTATCAAAATGAGATTAGCACAAATACAAAATGCGTTATATATGAGAGAGAGAAGTAAGGACAAACCACATTATTACCATAACAACTGGTAAAACAAGAGAAATAATCTCTTTTCATCACGAAATACACCATTCAAATCACATTTTGGTTAAATAATACTGATCGATTAGGTAATTTGCATTTCTTGAACCCTAAAACTTTCTATATACACGTGTGAATACCTTGGATAGTCTGTCATTTTTCACGTAATCTATTGTTATCTTGTAAATAATAAGGTGTAATTCCGTCATTCAATAAATGTGATTAATTAAAAATCTTCTGATGAATTTTTAAATCAGGTATTAAGGTATTATTAATTATCAGTACTAAGAGTGAGACAGCATTAAAGAGATTAATAACTAAGCAACCAGAAGAGAGATAAATATTTCAGACTAAAAAAGCACCACCCTTTTCACTAATAAGTGAAAATCTGAGATAAACATGCAGACGTCTGAAACTTTTGCTTAAAAACTTGTCTTACTTATAAGTAGTAACATTGTTTAATGCAAATTAATACCGTCAGTAACGTTGGTCAAGTGATCTGATGAAGAGTGATAAATTATTGAAGTGAAAATGATAACTTGGTTACAGGAAAAACTAGAATAACCAGTATTTAGATTACTTGCCCGAAACTACCCAGTAATTTCTGAAATAAGTCTGAATTTCGGTCTGATCACTGAAATTTTGAATACCAATAATATACACTTTGCTCCAAGCAATCTGATTGATGCAGTGTGCAATTCTCAGTATATAATCTCTCAATAAGTTTAATTCTTGTGACAAAAATTTTTACAGAACCAATTGTGCCATCTCAGTGATGTTGATAATAACAGTAATACAGGCAATAGTAGATAACAACCGGGTAAGTAATCGTATGGTCCAATAAAGGAAATGAAAAAAGAATCGAGTGTAAGTTCGGTGGTGGTAGATGATTCAAACAGCAAAAGAACCAACAATTCGGGGTAAGTATTTTAGCAATAACTATATGATGCATCGGCTTGTGTGTTTGAAAGTTCATCTCCGTCTACTGTACTACATTTTCTTCATTTCATTGTCAGCTTGCAAAAGTAGCAAATTGAAAACATGTCAGAAATACGTTGGAGAACACGTTTAGAAGACATTTGTCATGCACGCCATGGTTACCATTGATTGTGTAAATAAATAAATTGTTATTCGAAAACAGTTGGTTGTTTTGTCTGGAAATTATTTCAAATTGACAACAAGCTAAGAATGATATAGATGAATTAATGTGCAGTTTATTTACTCAGGTATAATTCTCTCTCTCTCTCTCTCCCTCTCTCTCTCTCCCTGTAGTATTGATCTCTTCACAGACATTGTATCATCTTATGTGACATGACAACACGACTATAATGTGTAAGGTAAAACAATCCATTACTGACAACTTCTCAAGCTTGAATGGGAAGTCATGCAAAGTGAGTAGAATTGGAACAGATATCTGGTGATTTACTAAAAGAGAAAGCTATTTCATTGTTCAATGAACTCAATGATAATTTTCCGTCTACATGAGGAATCTTTTGAATAAACCAGTGAATATCAGCATAGGACTTTGCAGTACCCTGTAGCGAGCGGTTGAAGTTACCACACCTGAAATTAGCATGTTAGTGTACGGAGAGATAAGATGAAAGATGGATTAGGGAATATAAACAATGTGCATGTGTTGATGTTAACAGAGAATTACCACTACTACTACTACTACTACTACTACTACTACTACTACTACTACTACTACTACTACTACTACTACTACTACTACTACTACTACTACTACTACTACTACTACTACTACTACTACTACTACTACTACTACTACTCACACTACTACCACTACTACCACTACTACTACTCACACTACTACTCAAACTATATATATATATATATACTTCATGTGTCTGCTTCTTCTATGCAGTCTTATATCTCTCTAGCTTGTCATATGAAAGTTGTCAATTTTTGTATTTCAGTTCAGAAGGAAATAATTAATTATACATTTTCAAATGGATATTGAAATGTATATGGAGTTAAAATTTTGGTAATG